GAGAGAGAGAGAGAGAGAGAGACCCCAAACTAACTACCCCGCCCCCCAAACTGACGACGACGATGACGATCAAGTGTAGCATATGTTGCGATCAGTTTGATATCTGACCCGCGGACCATCGGGAGTTCTTTATGCGAGGATCTGGGTTCTCAGCAGGCGTAAGGGGCCCCCTGTTACATCTGCGCCCGTCCTAAGTGAAGGCGGGTGTCCTAAATCACGAGAAGCCCTCAGCAGTCAATTTTGCATTTGGGATCCAGGCAGTTTCATCGCGCCAGTTGGTTGAAGGAAACACAGGCCGAGCAGCGAGAAAAATTTCCAGGCCTTCTAGGCTTTTCCGAAAGGGCAGGCCCTGGGCGAGATTTGCAGCCTCATACACAGACAGTTGGGAGGCCCAACCGAATGCGGCCCCGTAGCTGCACCAAAGGCGCAGCATCCTGGGGCCTACCGGAAGCTTTTGGGCCACGGCCCAGGGCAGCCAGGCTGCGAAGGCAGGCCAGATCTTTTCCATAGGAAGTGCTCACTGCCTGGCCTCATTCAGGCGCTCGCATGCTAGCGGCAGCACTGCAGGAGCGGACACTCGTGGGCTGCTGCTGGCGCTGAGAGGCGAGGTGCAAGCGCGTGTGGTCGTGCAGGGAGAAGGGCGCTGCTGAGGGCAGCACCATAGCCCAGCCTCCATAGCTGGTTGGGCTTGGACTACAATGAGGCGCAGGGGTGGTTTTCGGGTGTACAAAGGGAAGACGTGGGAGTAAGACGAGGGAGAGAGAGAGAAGGATGATGATGATGATGATGTGAGGGCATATACCTGGTATTGGCGATGGTCTGCTATGGGCGACATCTTCAGTACTTTGTGGGCTGCTGACGTCAACAGTTGCATTGTCAATTACTAGGCAGACTGTAGCTGTGTAGGAAGTAGGTTGGGCGCCAAACGCCAAGTAGGGAGATAAGGCCTGGACACTCATGTTGGTGGTGGCGAGAGCCAGCTCTCATTGACATTGATTTTCAGTGTTAGGATTTATATTGGTGCAGTTCTGCTTTTTGGACACTGTGATACTACCTGGCCTTCAATGTGATTGTCGGTGCTGGACATTGTCATCTCGCTATTGCTCATTTTCCTTGCATTTGTATAAAAAAAAAAGGAACAACGGCGCGCGCAAGTGTGCGCGCACCAGCGAGACACACACACAGAGAGAGAGAGAGAGAGAGAGAGAGAGAGAGAGAGAGAGAGAGAGAGAGAGAGAGAGAGAGAGAGAGACCCCAAACTAACTAATTTCACCGCCCCCCAAAACGGCGACGCCGAGCAGCAGAGCGACACACACACAGAGGGAGTGAGAGAGAGAGAGAGAGAGAGATGCAAGGAAAATGAGCGATAGCAAACTTGAGAAACCAAGCAGCATCATACACAAGAGGCCAGATAGTCGTGACCTCGAACCAAAAGCAGAATTGCATCACGAGTCCACCAGATAATAG